GAAACACAGAAGATGTGGATCGAAGCTCCGTTTTTTGGTTGTGGTGCTGAAGGTTAAACAGGTCCCTGGGAAGAAAAGATTACCCAGAAGTCAGCACTCACAGAAGAAAAAAACAGTATGTCTCCTCTGTAAGAAGGAAAGCCACTGGGAAAACGAATTCCCTGCAAAGTTAAAAAGACACCAGGAATCTATAAAAACAGAGAGAGTAACTCACACATATTAAACAGAATTACTCATGGTTGAACGGGATAATATGTATGTAAGCATAGAATTTTAATTTTATTGTGTTTAGTCTTTGTTTTTGTTAGCTGTTCCCATTTGGAGAGGGAGACTAAGGAGGTGGAACTTTCCTTTGTTTGGTTAGATCTTTCATTTCAACTAAAACATCTGCTCCTAGAATTTTGAAATTTATATTGTTAAAATTCTTTTGGAACATTGGAACTCTTTTCCTGTTGGAAGACTGTCCAACTTTGATAAAATGGATTTTGCTTTATCTTATTGTATTTTATTTTGTCATGATTGGTCGTTATCTCACAGATATGACAAAAGAATCTGTTTTTTAAAAAGGAATGGAAAAAATTCTGGAAGCAAGATTGCTATTTTAAAGCTGTTGGAGATTTCCTCAGTGAACTGACGGTTTAAGTAAAATCTTCTTTTTTTTTTTTTAATTCCAAAGAATATCAGTTTTCCAAGGTTGTCAACACAACATGTACAAGATATACAACAAAGTTCCATCAAGTGGTTTAGGGCAATGGAAATCAATTCTCTTGCATTTCTGGGGGCCCCAAGCCCAAAATCATCACATTGCCAGCAGGTCAGTGTTTGCTGGCAGTTTCAACAAGTGATTCTTTCTTCCCATTGCTCTCAGCACTCCTTGCCTTGTGTCAGCTCCTCTCCCATCTCTGCCTTGGCCTTGATGTGGCACTCTTTCCCATGTTTCTATGTACGTATAACCCTCTTCGTTCTTTCAAGACATGAGACATTGGAAAGTAAAATCTTCTTGATGACCAGATCAACTAAGAAACTTCAAATATACCTGGCTCTTAACCTTCATTATGCTAATTTCTCCTTTATATCACAAATGTGTAGAATTTATGTTCTATTATAGGTTATTGATTTTTGTGCTATTCAGACCATTCTCAAATGATATAAGTAAACTGAGGGGCATAGGATACAAATTACAAGCTTCTGATTGCTTGGAAACACACACACACACACATGCATGCACACACACACATGCACGCACTCACTCACACATGTACACACACACAAACACGCACATCTTTCTTGAATTGAAGGGTATGTTGGATCAGGAGAGAGGAGGAGACACCAAATAGCAAGGATTTATATTATCCAGAACTTTGTATAAAACTCTGTACAGTTCCTCAAGCCCCTCAGGAGGGGCAGCACTGTGATTCCCAGGACAAAAGGAGAAATAGCAAATGAAGAAATGATAAAGTTACTGGATTCTCTTCATTTCTTTGGTTTGCCCATTTCTTCATTTTTAGAAATATTTCTCTGAAATGTAACAGATTTCAGAGAATCAGCCTATAATGTCTGACCCAGCAATTCTGATGAGGCCCTGATTATATAAACCCCTTACTCCATAGCCCTCCGACCAGATTGGACACCCACATGCCAGTCTTTGTAGTAGGACTTTAAGGTACAATGCACCTAGAAGCAAGGGAAAAATATTTATTTGTCATTATATTTTGCAAAACACTTTCATGAGTTTTTTATTCTACCACATTGGTTCCAACTGTGCTCCTAATAGATTCTTTTGAAATTCTTTACTGTGGCTGCCGTGTTTTATTAGGCAGTGAAGAAAGAGTTTCAAGTACAAATGTATTACTGTCTTGAAGTTCTAGGAGAGAATATTCTAGACACAACACATTGTCACGGGGAAGGTCCAATTAAAACTCAGACACACTCACTTAATCCTTCTTTAGAATGACTTTAAAACTAGCTAATAGGAAGTTCTGAGCTAAGATCTCTCACTCACACTTGGTAGTATCATGGTTTCTATTTAGTATAATCATAGGAAATTTTCTTCAGAGAAAAACAAACATGTCTTAGCATTGCAGTACAAATTTTCTAGAGTTGTTATTTGTTACACAATCTCCCCTGAAAGTCTCCAAAAAAAGATAAAATCACGAGAGTAACTGTAAAAGGGCTATGGGCTTACAGATTACACTGATCAAGGTAGTGTAGTCTCAGGCTCGCACACTGAAGGAGGCTGTACTATCCAAAGGAAGAATTCAGACTCAGGAAACATGCTCCATTGTGCTTATATTATATGTTGTTTGCCATATTGTCAGGGAGACAATATAGTAAGAAGCTGTAGCATCCTTCTCCACTTTATGCCTATTGCTTTCAAAATTCAAGAGGAATGGATCTGAGAATATACTCCCTATTTTATTTTTTCATATTTACCTTTGTGTGCCCATATATCACAGCGTAGAGTAGAAGTAAGGGGGAAACTCATGTGAGCTGGGTTGTCATAGCCTATCATGTAGAACCCAGGAATTGAATTTGGGTCAACCTACTACAGTGGCTGTGTCTATGATGTACCAGCTTCATTGGAACAAAGGGGAGGGGAAAGGCTATGCAATTATAGAAAAGAGAATGAGGAAGTACTGTGCTGTCTTTGTACACAACACCAAAGCCAAGCTTCAGGTGTCTTCTTCTTAAGGCCATCACTCTCCTATCAGTGGATGAGATCTGCTTGAGGACTCCTTGTTGATGCTGCAATCGTGTAAGCTAGAAGAGCCAAGCACAGTTATCCAGCAAGAGTTCTTGACTTGGAGTTTTTATATGAATGGCAGCAGCTTCATGGAAGGAGGCGAGAGATGGCTTAAGTGACCGGATTTGAAGTTATTTGTTTTGGTCCACATACTGGGCTTTTTCTTTTAGGCCACCAACCAGCTTCTAATTCATGACACGGAGACTTCTTATTGGTTATGAATGCTCAGCCTAGCTTAGGTTTGTTTCTGGCTAGCTCTTTTTAACTTAACCTGATTCTCTTTAACTACCTTTTGCCTTAGGCTTTTGACATTTTTTTTTCTGTATATATTACTTTCATTGCTTTTCCTGTCTGGATGGCTGGTGACTGCCTGGCTTCTTGCTCCAGGCATGTCCCCCTCTTTCTCTTTTTTCTCTTCTTTCACTCTTCTCTGGAGCCTGGATTCCTCCTCTTATTTATTCTTTCTGCCTGTCAGCCCCATGTAGCCTTTCTCTGTCTAGCTATTGGCTGTTCAGCTCTTTATTAAACCAATCAGGTGCCTTAGGCAGGCAAGGTGAAACAGATGCAATGCATCTTTACATAATTAAACCACACATCCTTGTATCATTAAACAAATGCAGCATAAACAAATATAATACACCTTAACACAGTTAATAGTAATATTCTGCATCAGGAGCAAATGTAACACATCTTTACATAGTTCAAATAATATTCTACAACAGGTCCATGTCCTAAGACCTTCACATTGGGGTTGATCAACCTTGAAGAAATCCAGTAATAGCCTTTCATTTTTACACTTTGAATGGGATCCAAAGTGACTGCCATAGCGCCCCCCCTCTTGGCCTGAAAACTCTGCTGAGTGTTGATATCCAAACCAGAGGCCAGCAATCAAAGTCAGCGTGACTGTGATACCAACCAGAACCACCACAGGTCTTCCTGTGTGTTTTAGCTCATCTAACACTTTGGCTTGGAAGGCTGGATCAACTGCTGTCTCTGAGAACACCCAATGAATCAGCCAATCTCATTCAAAGGAGCTGACCATGCCTCTGCCAAGAAGTATGTTTACCAATGATATTTTATATGAAAAGCCCAAGAAATGCTAAAAGTTAATAAAATCAATACATTTTATCAGGTTGTCAGAAAATAGTAGATAACAAGTATGCTTTTAAAATGAGAGGACTTTAGAAAGATTATTATTACGGTTCATCATATGATTGATCGAAATTCTGATTATTCTTTAACTCATGCAATGGTTAGCAGACAATAAAATAGTAGTAAGAACCATGAATTACTGTTTTCCAGAATTTCCATACCTGACTGTACCTCATCTGCACGTTGGAAACACACCAACCACCAGAACACGTTTGCTAGCCATCAGTTCACAACAGTGTTTGTGGGGTGCTGCATCTCTCTGCTTTAACAGTTACTTAGAAAAATCCTACTATATATTTAGCTTATAAAGCTATTCAGGATATGAAGCCTTATTAAATTCAAAATTTGCTCTCCTTTTTCCTGCTTTGTTCTCTAGCTTGAAAAACAGCATTCACATCCCTTATCTACGTTAGGATCAGTATCTGTACACACTGACTTCTCTCCTCACATTTCCAGGTACAGAGATCAGATTGTCCCCACATCTCCTGCTGAGGGATGATATATGGATACTGATCTATTATCTGTATTGAGAAGCGCTTAGTAGGTGCCTCTCATGACCTATTTTTACAGGCTCTGGGGAACAGTGTACTTCTGTACCTTACCTGCCCCAGGCCTCCATTTGCCCTTATCAAGTTCCTCACTCAAGGATCAAGAAGCAAGAATGCTTGAAGGCTGGAGCTGAAGAAGAGTGAACAAGAGAGCCAGTCAGTCTCCAGAGGTTTGTCCCTACATCTACCTTTCTGGGTAAGGTAGGTGAGGTGTGGCAACAGGAAGATGACCACAATGCAAGCTTTGCTGTCAGTATTGCTGTAGAGGAAGACAGCCCTAGTAAACAACACTGCTGCCACTATTCAGAGAAAGCCAGCCCCAGTGCCCAACATTGCTGAGAGTAGTGCCAGGGTGTACATCACTCGCAGAATTGCTTCGGGAGGAGACAGGCTCCATGTGCAGCCTTGATGTCAGCACTGGTTCATATACTCCTCTCTGAAATATCTGTTCTAAGTGTCTAAACAAAACCCAGTTTCAAATGACCCTGTCTTCTTGTAATGCAGCCAGGCTCCTAGTAACAAACATCCTGAACGATTTCTCCTGCAGGTTAGGTCAAATGGAGTTATTTTCACTATGGACCAAAGCTGTGTTCAACTTGGCCTTGGCTCTTTATTCTGGTAAGCTTTCAGTCTCGGGTAGAATGCTGGTGAGGTGCTGTGCTGAGACAGGAGTAGAATGGTGGTTTTCTTGCCTTTTCAATTCTCAAATTGGTGAATGAGAAAAAGCAGGTTATAAATTCCTTCTCAGCAGTTAGCTGCTCTACAGTTCAAATAATAAGTACATACGGTTCATCTCAATACCTACAGTATATGACATAAGTAAATATAATTTCAAGCAAAAATAAAGAACAACAACTAAGCTTTGGCTTTATACATCTCAATAAATTTATGTTCATTTACCAGATGTCAATTTTTAACTTGTCTGTACTAGTTCATCTTTAGAAATTGAGTAGTCTCTTTTGTCTCAAAGTTGATAACATTGCCAAAAACCAGAACGCCTCGGATGGCTCCTACGTAAGGATTGAGACTACTTCATTAGTTACTGGATAGTGGGTGTGTAGGTATTTGATTTTGATCCTAACTGTACATTATGCTCTCTCTTGTTGAATTATGATATATTTCATGACTATTGTGATTAAGTGTTCACTATTAGATGATTTTTATTGTCTTTCTCTTACAGATAGATTGTGAGCCATATGTAAAATATATCGACACATGTACCAAAGAGTATTATCCAATCTGTGCAACTAATGGAAAAATTTATTGCAATAAATGTATTTTCTGCGTTTCACTGAGGTAAGAAGGCAACAGGAAACATTTGCCCTTCCAGGCATGAATAAGGCATTAGACAATGATATAGATTCATATTGTTGGTAATCTAGGCACATAGGGTATGTCAAAGATAACTATATTTTATAAAAGCCAGAAGAATGTACTTCTAACTCCTCTAAAGTGTATTACTCGTGAACTGTCAACATATCTCAGCTAGGTGATCTGCAAATGGGTGAATTGATTAATTTCACTTAATTTGGTGAATTGTGAAGTGCTAGTGGTTGAGTAATAGCGATGACAATGTAATTCAGAAGCTGCAACATTAACCGGTGTATCTCTGTGATACCACAAGAATCTACCTTGCAGCATTCTAGTTACAGGCAAGATAGCTGATCAAAAACCAGATTGAATGCTGACCTTTAAAGTTCACCGTGCACAATGAGCCAATTAATGCTAGAAAGAAGCTCGTGCGATGTCATCTTGGTCTCTTGAAGTTGTCCCTCAAAAGATTCCTGAGAGCCCAGGGCACTCCCAGCTGAACTCCTGTCCCTTCATTCTGAAACTGTTTGTTATCTGAAGGCTTACCAGCCTGTCTTTAGTCCTCATTTCCTTGTGTGTGTTTCTCCTCTTATTGAAATACTTGCCCATTTGCTTTCAAAGTCACACAAGCCTTTGGCAGACCTGGAATTCCCTATAGCTCTTCCTTCATGAATCTGGTGTGACTTTTGACTGAGAGTTATCAAGTATCTTCACAGGGGGGAAAGGAGATATAAAGGAGCTAAAAAGCAAATAGACACAGCTGCTTCTACAATAAATCATAATCTCTCCAACATGTCCCAAGTTCAAATTCTCACTTTTAATATGTAAACTTGTAAATTATCCAGAACGTGTAATTAATTTTTAAAGATCTTTCTCTGTTTTTCCCGTTTGATTCTCCAGGAAAAGTGATACTACTTTCTTCTTTGCTCATTATGGTAAATGCTGACAATATCTGGACCCAAACATCCCAATGGCTATAATTATAATACCTTTCTGCAATGAATTCTACAATTAGAATTTCTTGATCAAAGCCTTCCATTCATAGACGACCAGCTGAATCACACTATATGACAGAGGATTTAACACTGAGCATTCGAGGTTGCTCTCAACAATAGGAACCTATAACTTCAGAATTTCTATTTTCTATGTTCATTAATAAAATGTCAGTTTGAAATGTTGGTGTCCAAGCAGGGTGTGATACTTACACTTGCAATCCTAACCCTTGGGAAGCTGAGGCAAGACTCAACCTTGGTGAGTCCGAGCTTGGGCTACAGAGAAAGTTGATCACAAACAACAAAACCCTTACCCTAATGTTACATTCGATAATGTAAACCTCAATTCAATTTAAAGCTCTAAGTATCTAAATGATTTGCTCAATAAAATGCTTTAAAATAAAGTGTTATTAAATGTGTTAGAGTGTTTTTTTATTTGCCTGCATAATGGATTAAGACATATTTCAGTACCTGTGATCTAAGAGATTCGCAAATGTCATATTACTTGAGAAATTTTTAAATAAATAATATTTATTTTAAATAAATAAATAAATATCTTAGATTCTCTTCATTCTCAAGTTTCAGAGCATTCAGAGGAGGGTTTTGAGCAGTTGAAAGTCTAAGAGGCCTCCCGAGTTAGCCTCTCATAATCCGTGGAGAATCATGATGGCATCAAACATGACTTCATCTCAGTCAAGAGAGAAAAGAGTCAAATAGCATGAAGTCACCAGCAAAGAAGCTTTAATCAGAGAGGGTTAGAGGTTTAGGTTGAGAAAAATGGTGCGATACCAATTTGAAGAGATTCAGGCTACCAACTAAAAGTAACAGAAATAGGTCCTTTATTTGAAAAATAAATAAAAGTAAAAAAAAAAAGAAATAGGTCGTTTGTGTTGGCTGGGATCTGATAATTTTTCACTCAGCATCTGCATAAAAAATTTTAAATGTTAATAAAAACCAGTTTCTCATGTTTTGAAGTAGCTCTTCCTTGAATAAGATAAGTATCAGGACCGTGTTTGTCCTAGAGACATGCTGGTGCTCCCATGATCTGGCTGGTTTCTTCCCTGAGGTCAGAGTTGAGAATAAAGAGAAGCACATTTCAGAGACTGGTAGCAGAATTGGTGAGAGAGCTCAATAGTTAGTAACTCTATGTTAGCAACTCCTAGTTGTCACTCTTCTGTAAGTGACAGAAAGTGGTTAAGTGCCTGAACATTTATCTGTCTCTTGTCCCTGTGAGGGTTTCTGTTTAAACCATAGACTTAGCCTCTGAGTCATGGGGGATATATCTATCTACAAATGTATGCAGGTACCATAAACAAAATGAAAATACAGACGGTAGAATAGGGGCCCAATCCAAGAGTGCTCAGTTCTGGTGAGGATTGAAAAGCGCTGCTGTGCAAGTAGGGAGACTATAGAAACAACAGCTGGATACTGTGTATTTCAAAAACCTAGACGCACGCTGAAGGTTTCACCAAAAAGTCATTATAAATATGGTAACATATGTTTACCTGATTTTAAAATTACTCATTATATAGATGTATTGTGCAAACATGACATCATATTCCATTACTTTGTACCATCTAATATTTGTGTTATTTGTATTTTTGTTTAAGGGTAAATTACAAATATATAGCAAGTATAAGAGAAATTGTCTAATGGACCAATGGGAACTTAAGGGAGGGGAGGGGGAAAAGGGAGGGTAAGAGGTAGAGATTTTTGTAGAGATAGCCTAGGCAACACAGTACCAAGTCCAATGAGGGTGCAAGATGAAAATCTTAAATTAACTAACAATAGACATATGTGTGCTCACGGGACTCACGTTGGTTTCTTTTCTTCATGACTTCTACCAATAAGCCTATTTAAAGGCTGGGCTGGGCATGGTGGTGTAAGCCAATAACCCCAGGAGTCACGAGACAAGGCCTGTGGATCCAGCCCAGCCTGTGCTACATAGTGAGACCGTTGAAGGTTGTAGAGCTTGGATGTGATGGAGAGGTCGTTTCGTCAGAGACGGGATTAGAACTCACGGACGTTAACTGCCAATGCCTTTGCCAATGTCAGCCTCTGAGAAAGCTGAGTGAAGACCTCCAGGGAATGGCAACTTCACATCCCACTGTGCCTCCCACCTAATTGTCGGACTCATCAGATCATCAACTTCTCTAACTTAGGACACTGTCCACTGTGGCCTCAATTTCCCCTGGTTGTCCTTTCGTATCCCGTCTTCATCCTCTAACCAGGATTCCTTAGCACTGGCTGTCTTTAAGACTTTCCTGGGACCTTTCCAAACATACCACAGCCCAGGCTTCTTATACAAACAACAGATAGGCTATTTTGCCCGTGGAAATGGACATTGATAAAAACATCTCTAGCAGATGTCCATTCCTGGCTGTAAATTCGTGCTACAGGTTTACAAACGTCCCACTGGCACACTGGTACACATCTCAAAAGAAACACCAAACACCTGATAAAAATCAAAATTCCTGTCGAGGCTGCCAGGTGTAGTTGTATTAGCTTTATTTTAGTATTCGATCTAATTTTTCTGACAAAACCATGAGGTGGAGTTGTCCAGTCACAATTCTTTAAATTAATTTTATTTCCCCCTTTATTCTCTTGCTCTTCCTTACCCAATAGTTTGAAATGCATCCCTCACCTCACCCCCTTCCAGTATTAATTGCCTTCTCTTTCCCACATCTCTGGATAAGTTAGGTCAAGTTGTTCCTAACTTTCTGCTGAGAGAACTATCAAGAACAAGTGAGGTGTATCTTGTGAGCTATTTTGCAGCCTCCAGGGGGAACACAGTCTTCTGCTAGGATGATCTGTGCTGGCTTTTGATCTTGCTCCCGAACAAGGTTCTTAATAAAAAAGCAATAATGAACCACAGCTGGAGGGAAGTGGCTGAGCCGAGAAGGCAAGCAAAGCATTAAAGCCCAGGGCTGTTGCTGTCTCTCCACTATCTCTGCTTTTCCAGATAGGGCGTACGGAGACATCTGGGGACTGTCCAGGAGCCTTGACTTCCCACAGCAGCTTCTCAAGGTCCTTCTTTCTTAAAGAATCGTTTCTGAAAACCTGAGATTGCGACATGGGTATTTCTTGAAGGGTAGCTGGTCTCCTGCTTTGCTGAGCGAGTGGCTGGGAGAATAGGTACAATGAGGGAATTTCAAGTTCCCAGGAGGACTCTGCACTTCTGTTGTTTGTGTCTTATTGATTTTGAGGATTAGTCAAAGGATAGAGGAACATTAGTGTTAGCCATATCTAGGAATCTGGGAAAGGGGGGTGGTGTAGTTCCCTGGTCTGTAAGAAACTTTGCTTTGGAATGTATTATAATTAAATGATTGTTCCTCAGACTTGACAAATGTCTTCCTCCTTATTATGGACCAAATTCATTTTCATCCTGGCCTTGGTGTTTCCTCTTTATCATGGTAAGTAAAGTTTCTACTACTCCCTCCCAGACATATAATGCTGGGAGCATCCATTGCAATTCTGGAACAGATAAATTTTTAAACTGGGATTAGAAACATAAAACTGGTGAAAAACATTATGTTACAAATTTCTTTAGAACTTACACCGATGAATTGCTTTTACCCATGCCCTGACTTAGAAAACTGGAGCACAGAAACTGAATTAGAATAAGGAGCAGAAGCTGAGCACAGCATTGCATTCCCATAAAGCCAAAGGCACAAGGTTATTCAAAGACACAAGGAAAGAAAACTTCTTGTGTCTTGGAGGTCAAGGCCAACTTGGACAAGATAGTTGGAACCTATCTCTATTAAAAGTAAACCTCAAAATCTACCCTTTGAATTTTTACGTTGTTGTCATAGGTCTTTGGTTAGAGATATTTACCCTTGTCCCATTTTGTAGGACACATCCCAGTGTTGTTCAACGTAATGTATGAGCTGTATGGTGTCTTCCAGATTTGGGGATCCTTGATATAATCATTTGTTCTTTGTCAGCTGAGTCCTGTAAGTCAAGGTCTTACTTACCTTGACTTACTGTTAGTAAAAGTTTTCTCTCGCTAAGAGAAAAATCTATAAATATTAATAAATATATATAGAGAAAACTCTGATTCTTCCACTAACAAATCACAAATTTCAGAACAAATAAAGGAATTGTGAAAGATTAGATTCAAGATTAATATTATTAATCAAATTTACTATCTGTCTTTTATGCAAAGCAAATTAAGTTGCTTTCTTACAAGGCATTTTTTCTCTGGTTAGGCTATTTCACATATAAAGAAAAATTATGGTATCTTTTAAAGGAAAGTTTTAGAAATAAATAAAGAATAACAAATATTTTCAGATTTGAAATCATTCTACAAACATATTTTGCTACTACCACATATTCTCACCTTACTTTGAAGGTCAGGAATAAGCATTTTGCACAGGTTATTTCTGCTAAGTACTAAGGGAACTTCATGCCATTTTTTCCTTCTTCTTATGCTTAACTTTTCTTTTGTTGGTTTCAGAGAATACTTTTGCATTTTCAACAAAAGTCCGTCAGAAGGTGAGTTAACACTGTCTAATTTGGCCACTGGAGTTGAGGACACCATGAGAACTTGACCCATTGAAGCAACTAAGCAGGCTCACGGGGGCTCACAGAGACTGAAGTGACAGCTGACTGACCTCACACGAGTCTGCTCTAGGTCCTCTGCATATATGTGATGGTTGTTAGCTTGGCATGTTGTGGGAATCCTAACAGTGGAAATGGAGGCATCTCTGACTCTTTGGCTTGCTCTTAGGACCCTTTTCTTCCTTCAGAGTTCTCTCGTTTAACCCTGATATAATTATTTGTGCTTAATCTTATTGAACTTGTTCATTCTGTGTTCAGTTGATGCCCTTGGAGGGCTGCTCTTTTCCAAAGGGAAATGAAGGCGGAGAGGATCTGAGGAAGGGGGGACTGGGAGAAGTGGAGAGAGGAGAAACTGTGAATTAAATTTTTAAATAAAGTAAATTAATTAAACAGTATTTTTATCTGTTTTATATGTAATTTTAATGTCAAATACCAACAACCAAAATCTATAATAGAATAGGCCTGAAAAAAATTAAAACCAAACAAAAATGCATAAGTCATTATCATTATATGGAGGTCAAGAATGAGTCTTCCCGGAGGATGGAGAGATGACTCAGAGGTTGAGTACATTCTACTCTTGCAGAGGAAACACATTTTGTGCCCAGCACCTACATAACAGCTCAAAACTGTCTTAACTCTGGTTCCTTAGGATCAACTGTCTATTCTGACCTCTGTGGGCTCTTGCACATGTATGGTGCCTACATATACACTCAGGTACACACACAAACACACACACACACACAAGCATGCACATAAATAGTAATAGTCTTGCCAACACTGTACAACTGCTTTAGCATTAGAGACAAGATAAAATTTGACACTATTAAAAAATTCCATTAAGGAACCAAATCCTTATTGTATACAAGTATTTAATATATTTTAAAAAGTTATTTAATGTAGATTTGTTTATTATAGCAAGAAAAGAAGTTTGAAAGTAATTAAATAATCTATTTGAAGGTGGGTTAATCATAATTTTTCAAATATTAACACACTATAATGTTATACAGATGTGAAGAAGTACTGTAGTTCTAAACAACTGCATAGATAAAAATTTCAAAGAAATTGAAGGGTAAATTCAGCAGAAAATACACACTGTTGCCTATTTCTGTAAATCGCCGATACTCTCCTTATCTATGTCTGTGTAAGAGCTTACACATCTAAACAAAGGCTCACTTAAATGTGTGTATGTGTCTGTCATGGATGGTTCAGGAGGACAAGAGACTAAAAGGTAAATAATCAAGTTTGATTATCTCTCATGACATAAAATAATGAGAGACTGACCTGAATGTGAAGAGAAGTAGAGACGGGATAGCTCTATCATAAAATTCATATATCCAGTGCACAGCTTTTGAAAAATCAAATTTATAAAACTATATCAATAGTATAATGTATGTGGGCTAGCAAGATTGCTCAGTAAATAAAGGTGCCTGCCATCAAGACGGATGAGTTCAATCTCCAGGGCCCAAATGGTGAAAAGAGAGACTGACTCAAGCAAGTTGTCCTTTGACCTCTACATCAATGTTGTGGCATGCACATAGATATGCATGCATGAACACATATACACATACACACACCTGCGCACACATACACAAAAGAAATAAATGTAATTATAATATGTATAAAATATTTGGGTTTGGGTACCTCAATGTTTATTTTTTAAACCTTAATATTTAACTATTATGTTGTGTGGCCTTTCCCCCACAAAGATCGCTATATGATAAACCTGGTATTGTCTCCTTATCTTTGACAGCCTGACTGCAACGTATATAAAAACTTCCCAAACAGGTGTACCAGGGAAAGGAATCCAATCTGCGCAACAAATGGACGTACTTATAGCAATGAATGTGTTTTCTGCAGTGCCATGATGTAAGAACACGTGATTAAAGACCCTAAGTAATGAAGAAACTCTAATGGCATGATAGGAAGCCCCGTTTCTGCAAACCCAGATATGACATGCACACAGTAAACTGTGGCTACTAAAACCAGAGGAACCTACTCTTGCCTTTCCTTTAACTTCTCATTTGCAAAACTTGCTTTTTTTTAAAAAAAAATTTGATCTTTCAGTATAATTCTAATGAGTACTCTGTAAATGTACCCACTAGTGAAGTTAAATGAATTATTAATAAACTGCTAGCAGCCTACTGGTCAACAAGATAACATAATTCCAAATGCGGATGCTGAATAATAGTAACCCTGCTGTGTGAACGGAATACTCAAGTCTAGAACTCTGAAACCCATCACAGTTGAATCCAATACTAAGGAGGGAGGTCTCTGGATGAGCCAGTCTGTCTACTGAACTTACTGACCGCTTTCTTACGTTCTTAAGGGACTGGGAAGTCTGAGAGCATCTCCACTCTCCCTTCTCCCTGCGCTATCATTCTGCATCACATTCTTTTATTGTATAAGGAGTGTGTAAAAATTGCTTAATTAATGCTAATTGATTCATTCATTCTTTTCAACTTTAATCCTTGCCCACAGTTTTTCTCTTTCTCTCAAGTTTTTCCTTTCATCAAAATTTCTGTATACTTAATTCCCCAAATTGTATTCTGCTTCTACAGGACAACTAAGACAATTTTAGTCCTCTCCTCTTTTGGGTCTGAGATGGTCCCAAGGCAGAGTCGGTTTTTAGGAAAAGTCAAGTATCCCATCATGAGAGATAGGACACATGCCAGGGTAGAGAATTGGTGCGATGTAGCTGCTCATGGTGAGGAGAGAGTCTCAGCATCAGTGCATGCCAGGTCTTCCTCATTAAAAAGCAATAAATGCAGTACAGTTTACAAGCACTAATTGAACATGGCAGCTCAATTCTGTGTTTTCTTTCTCACTTCTTTATTTACAGAACCTCTAAAGAAAAATTTAATTATCGGCATCATGGTCCTTGCTGAATTTGTGTGGGTTACACATACATCATCCTTTCTCATAGTGTATTCTGCAATCAAGTAAAATTTTCTCAGTGAGTGCTTCAGATTCCTAAACAACAAATGAAGTCTTCTGTGGTTCATAAAGTGGAATATAAGATATTGAAGAATTTCTCCAACCTGTGATTGAAGGATTTTATTTCAGTTTTAATCATGGTGTTAAAAATTGTTATCATATTCACTGTGATTATTGTTAGTATTCAGGTTATCTGTACTGACCTGCCCTTGGGGTTCTGACAGGATATGTCCTCAGCTGTAGCCACTGAGAACGCCTCCTGTGCAAATCACTTTTTTCCCCTTTAAAAGGGCTCTGCCCACCTCCCACCTCTCTCTCTCTCTCTCTCTCTCTCTCTCTCTCTCTCTCTCTCTCTCTCTCTCTCTCTCTCCC